TCTGGGTGCCCGAGGGGCGGCCCGTCAGCCAGAGCAGAATTACCTTGCAAATATCCCAGGTTTACCCGATTCATGACATCACTGGCTGTTAAATTTGCTACATCCTCTACGGAACACACAGGAAGAGGGACAGACAGACAGAGAGAGAGAGGTCAGCAAGCAGCAGGCCCAGCTCAGCAGGGAGGGGCAGCCGACTGCACGCGGGAGGCCGGCCGCCTGGGAAGCGAGTCAGAAGCGAGTGGAAGTCGGCTCCTCTGCCAGCTCTGTGGGCGGCGGGGTCGCGAGGCCGGGAGCAGTGCTGGAGGCGGTGGCCGTCGGGGGAGGCGGCTAGATCTCCACCTGCCCACATTCCCCATGGGGCCGTGGACACCAGACACCCCACTCAGCGTCCGTGTTCCCCTGGGAAGTGGGGGTGACAGCTCCCAGCCTGGCAGGGGCAGCAGAGGGGACAGGTAAACTGTGGCTGGGTGTGGGGGGGACAGGGCTGAGAAGGCCCTTATGGGTCACCTGACCCCCAGGCCCTGACCTCTAAGTCCCCCACAGGCCCAGGGCTGCATGACTAGTGGACGGCCCGGCCCAAGTGATCCCTGGGCAGCTCCCGGACGAGCCCTGAGCCAGCTGATCCCACTGGGAAGGGGTTCGTGGGCCCCGATCCAGGAAGCGCACGGCAGGAAGCAGTGTGGGGAGCAGGACAGAGCCAGGCCCGAGCAGAGCAGAGGCCCCGATGGAGCCCAACACAGGCCGGCAGCTGGACCAGCCCAGGGTGTGGACAGGCAGGAGCTGGGCCCCTCGGCCCATCCACAGAGGCAGCATCTCCAGAAGGAGGGAGGGGCTTGCTCTCTTCTGAGCCAGCGGGGCCACCCAGGCCTGTTCTCGGTGAAGCTCACAAACGTCTCCCCAAAACAAGCTACAGAGAAAGGGGGGCCTGAACCTGCTGACGAAGGCGGCACCCCCTGAAGCAGCAGAAAAGGGGTCGCTGTGCCGTGCGAACAGGAGTGGGTCCCACAAGGACAAGGGCAGAGTGTCCTGGTGCCGCTCGCCCAGCTGCCCGACGTGCCCACGCTCCAGCTGATGGAGGGCTGGGCAAGGGTGCCCCTGCCCGTCCCTGTTCTCCGGAGGACACAGTGGCCCCTGCCTTGCTGATGGCCTGTGGGTCTGGCTGGAGGTGGCCCATCGGTCCCGAACCCAAATCAGTGCCCGAGGCTTTCAGGGCGCCCAGCCTGGCCCGCCCCTCCCGCAGCCTCCTGGCTCCTGCCCCTTTGTTACAGACGGGGAAACTGAGGCCCCAGCGGGTGGGGCTGAGCCCTGCTGTATGGGCTGCGGCACCAGTTCTGGGCGGTCCTGTGCCCCCCCAGCAGAGGGCTCTGACCAGCCTGCAGGCGGGCGGACGGACGGGAGGGAGGCTGTGGCGGTTGCCGGTCTTACCGTAGCCGGTGGTGGGCAGCCCCAGGTGCTTCATGCGGTTCTTGACC